AGCTATAAGAATCTTGTTTTATACAAGGATACTATCTAAAGGAGACAAAATTTGTACTAAAACTCTACAGGACTCAAATATGTCTTTGATGGCATACTTAGGCTACCACCATTTTGAAACAATTCTAGAGTCTAAAAACCGTTGAATGATTGGGAAAAATTAAAAAGGGAACTGGAAGTTTAAACAGAAGGTTTTACTTCTTCTCCTTCTGGCTAGCTAATGCCAAAGCCAGAGTAGTGAATTGTGTATGGCATACACATAATAAATATATACTCAGAAAGCAATGAAGGAAGGAAAAGTGAAAAATAAAAATAAGAAGGCCAAGCAAGCAGAATGAGAAGCATCAACTAATCTGATTCTGTTTCATTCTTTCTACATATGAACTTTAACTCTGAAATTTTACATCATGTAACTAAATGGGTCTCGTAATTATGTAATAGATGATATATATAAACATACATTCAAATAAATGTATATAAGATACACAATTTCAAGACTAATGTTTGCTGGAATGGAAATTAGTGTTTGACCTTCTGACACACTAGCAAAAACTAAGACTAGAAGGCATTAGTTTGGAACTATTAAATTGATCAAAATACAAAGCAACCAGTGATCCAGTAAATTTTTTCATAATATACATAGACACTGAAAATCACCTTGCTTACATTGCACAATTGTATTCCATAATCAATTTCAGATGCTATTTTTGTCTAAAATTTCTTCATCTGTCAAATAATGTCAGAAGCACATTCACAGACAACCTCTCTAGATGGTCACTGTAGTAACTGAGTCAGTTTCTTCATTCTCAATTTTAATTGCTTAGAACTATATTTCTTCAGAATAAAAGTAATTCATTTGATACCATTTTATGTATGAAATGGAAAAGGCCGAAAAGAGTCATCTATAATTCTTCATTAGTTAGTGACTACTTTTCTAAGCTTCTCTTAAAAATGTCAAAGCTATATGCAAGTAAGGTTTTTTTGCTTTCTCTCATGCCATTTGAATAATGCTAAAAACAATGACATAATTTGATAAAGCCAGTTATAAAAGTACCCACTTAAAGGCAACCCAATACAATTAAAGAAGATTGTCAACCTAAGAAAAAAACTCTTCAGTGTGACACAATTATGTCAACTTGAAAACTGGGTGTTTCAAAATAAACAGAAAAATAATGGTAGGAAGTATTCAGTATTTAAAAAGTTATTAACCCATGTAAATATGTCTAATGTACTATGGTTTCACTTATTCTACTAAGATTTAGTGTCTCTCATAAAAGTGAATGCAATAAAATTCTAAAATAAAGAAACTATGGGCATATAGGTTTCAGTCACATAATCAAACTCAGAAATTTTGGTTTAGATTAGGACAGTTTGCTTTCACTATAAATATAAACTAATAAAAACAGGATTAATAAAAATTTTATAATGATTAAAGTAATATGGAAAATACATGTTTATTATTAGGAATGGTATTAAATAATTTATCTGGTATTATAATTAGTCTTTATTTGTTTCATTTTCTTTATATCCACAAATATAATATTTAATAGGAAAGAGTTCTTCATGTTCCAAGAAAGAGAGTATAAAAAGAGTGAACAATAGTAATCATTATAAAAAGAAGTTCAAAAACCTTTCCCTCTGATTATATAAGCAAGAAATAATATAAAATAGTTGTAAAAAAAATCAGTTTTTTTCCCAAAGGGAAATAAATATGTACTATGAAGTTGAACAGAGTATAAAAGCCACAAAATAACATTATACCCCAGTCTAAAATGTTAATTGAATGTCTCAACACATTAATGAAACCAGCAGATTTTTCAATTAGAGTGTAAAGTATTTCTAATAATGTAGCAGCTGCTTAGAAATACTGGAATAAATGTGAGAAATCTAAAAAAAGGAAACCAAAGTGTTTATAAACACCAATATCTATAATAATTATATACTTCATGCATGTTATATCTTCAGCATTCTCTTTAGTTTTCTACTAAATACTGTTTTTCTTTGAATTTTCAATAAAATGTTAGAATATATTGTTGACACAGAAAACCTTACATTATAACATTTTACAATGTATTGATTTTTGAAGAGCTAAATAAGGAAAAAAATGACAGCCTTTCCTGTAAGATCTGGAACAAGACAAGGCTGTCCACTTTCACCATTTTTATTCAACATAGAACTGAACAGCTTAGCTAGAGCCATCAGGTAAGAGAAATAAATAGAGAGTATCCAAATTGGAAAGGAGGAAGTCAAATTGTTCTAGTTTGTAGATGACATGGTCTTATATTAAGAAAAAACCTAAAGACTCTACCAAAAACCTCTTAGATTTGACAAACAAATTCAATAAAATTGAAGAATACCAAATCAACAAATGCAAATGTGTAGACATGCAAAAATCAACAGCATGTCTACACACAAATAGTGAACAATCTAAAAAAAAACTCAGGCAAGCAATCCTATTTCTGATAGCTACAAAAAACAAAATACCTAGAAATCAATATAACTAATGAGGTGAAAAATCTCTACTATAAAACTATAAAATATTGTTAAAAGAAACTGAAGACCAAAAAAAATAAAAAGATATCCTCTGTTCATGTACTGAAAGAATTAATATTGTTAAAATATCCATACTGCCCAAAACAATATACAGATCCAGTGTAACCCCTAGCAAAATACCAATGACATTTTTTACATAGATAGAAAACAAAATTCTAAAATTCACACAGAACCCACAAAAGACCCACAATAGCCAAAGCAGTCCTGAGAAAAAGAACATTACACTACCTAGAAACATCATACTACCTGGCTTCAAAATATATTACAAGGATATAGTAACTAAAACTACATGGTATTGACATAAAAAAAAAAAAAAACAAAACCATAACCCACTGGACAAAATGGAGAACCCAAAAATAAATTCACATATTTATAGCCAACAGATTTTGAACAAACATCAAGAACACATATTGAGAAAAGGATAGTCAGTAAAATTGGATATCTATTGCAGACAAATGAAGCTAGATCCCTATCTTTCACCATATGGGAAAATCAAATCAAAATAAAGGCCCAGCATAAAATCCAATACATATAAAACAGCAGAAGAAAACATAGGGAAAATGTTTCAGGACATTGATTTTGACAAAGATTTGATGGCTAAGACCTTAAAAGCACAGGTAACAGAAGCAAAAATAAACACATCGAATTATATCAAACTAAAAGCATTTTGCACAGCAAAGAAAACAATTAACAGAGTGACAAGATAATCTACAGAATGAGAGAAGATATTTTCACACTATTTGACAAGGAATTAAAATACAGAATACATAAGAAACTCAAACAAAGCAACAGAAGAAAAAAAAATTTTAAATGGGCAAATAATATGTATAGACATTTCTCAAAAGAAGACATACAAATGGCCAACAGGTATGTGAAAAAAAGTTCCATATCATTAATCACCAGGGAAATGCAAATCAAAACCACAATAAGATATAATCTCACCCCAGTTAAAATGGCTGCAATTGAAAGAACAAAAAAAAAGTTCTGTCAAGAATATAGAGAAAGGGGAACTCTTATACCCTGTTGGGAGTGTAAATTAGTACAGCCATTATGGAGAATAGGAGTTTTCTTTAAAAACTAATAATAGGCCAGGAACAGTGGCTCACCTCTGTAAGCCCAGCATTTCGGGAGGCTGAGGAGGGCAGAATCAGTAGGTCAGGAGTTCGAGACCAGCCTGGCCAATATGGCAAAACCCCGCCTCTACTAAAAATACAAAAATTAGCCTGGTGTGGTGGTGCACACCTGTAATCCTAGTTACTCAGGAGGCTGAGGCAGAATAATTGCTTGAACCTGAGAGGTGGAGGTTGCAGTGAGCTGAGCTTGCACCACTCCACTCCAACCTGGGTGACAGAGCGAGACTCCATCTCAGAAAAAAAAAAAAAATCCTCTAATAATAATAAACTAATAATGGAACTACCACATAATCTTGCAATCCATTACTAGGTATTTATTTAAAGGAGGAGAAGCAGTATGTCGAAGAGATATCTGCACTCCTATGCTTACTGCAGCACTGCTCAGAATCTATCAGACAGTTAGAATCAATCCAAACTGCCAACTATGAATGAATGGATGAACAAAATGTGTTATACAACACAATGGAATATTCAGCCACAAAAAGGAATGAAATACTGTCATCTGTGGCAACATAACTGAGACTGGAGGACATTATGTTAAAGTGAAGTAAGTCTGGTATAGAAAGACAAGTACCACATGTTCTCACATGTGAGAGTTTAAAAAGTAGTATCTTATAGAATTAATGAATAGAATAATGGTTATCAGGGGCAGGGAGGAGTAGTGGACAGGGGAGAATAAAAATAAGTTGGTCAATGGTACAAAAATACCGTTATATAGGGTGAATAAATTCTAGTGTTCTATAACACGGCAGGCTGACTATAGTTAATAATTCATTGCGTATTTCAAAATAGCTATATTAGAAGATTTTGAATATTTCCAAAACAAAGAAATGATAAATGTTGGAGGCATAGTATATGCCCATTCCCTAATTTGATCAATAAACAGTGTATACATGTATAAAAATATATGTATTCTACAGATACAATTATATGCCAATTAAAAATAAAACATAATAAAAATAAATGTTAAAAATCCATAACCAAAAAAGAAAGAAATATAAGCTGCCAACACCAACAACAAAACTTAGTTTTGTAACTACAACCAACTAAAATAAATTGAGTATATTTGATGCTGAATAGCTGATACGTGAAATAATTTGAGTAAATTTGAAGCTAAAAAATCTGCCCTATGAAATAATTAAGCTTCCTTATAGTCATCCACTACCTAGTGTATTCATACTGGTATTAGAAATTCGATTATAATTTAGAAAAAATGGTCGAACAGAGTAAAATCTTAACTTTACCCCAATCAATGTTGTAATGGCAAAGAGCAATTAGTATGAACTTTTACCATGTCCGTTTGTAAGTAACTCACCTGATTAGCAATCTGCCGAGCAAGGACATCCATCCTTGATCCTGATTCTGATATCATTTTTGCTGCATAGATCACATCAGTTGTATGCTTTAGTGGTCCTTTGCCCCTGAAAAAAAAAGTATATGTTAACTGTAGCGTTCATGAAAAAATGTATGTTAGCTGTGTTGTTTCATGAAAAAACATATAAATCTATCCATCCATCCACATATGTAAAATATTTGCATCCGAAAGAACACCTATTGGTTTTAATATTTTGGTTTTGAAAAGACCATAATAAGACTTCTGTATTAAATAAATGTTTTAAAAAATGCAAGCCTATTGTGTTAAGTCAGGAAATACTACAGAGAAGATGAAGACCTTTTAGTCTTCATTCCCAGGTGTTTATCATAGTAAAACTCAGCCTAGAGTACCCTTCATAGATCTAGATACCTCAAAGGCAAAGGTATTTTCCTGATTCTACAAAGAAACATAGTATTTTGGACATTGTATCCAACAGTTCATTTTTTATCGACATTTTTTCTACTTTTAATATTTCACATTTTTTGTTGCTATATTTTATTTTTTAAAAAATTTTATTGATGTAATATTCATTTTTATGGGGGTACATGTATTATATTGTTATTTATACATGCATAGAATGTGTAATGATTAAGTAATGGTATTTAGGGTATCCATCACATCGAGTATTATTTCTATTTGTTGAAAATATTTGAAGTCTTCTAGTTATTTTGAAATATTCAATACATTGTTTTTAATTATAGTCACCCTATTCTGAACATTTGAATTGTTCTTTCTATTTAACTGTATGTTTGCTCCCATTAACCAACCTCTCTTATACCCTCAATCCCCAACAGACACTATGCCAAGCCTCAGGTAGCTCTCATTCTACTTTCTACCTCCATGAGAGCAATGTTTTTCGCTCTCACATGTGGAGGAGAAAGTGATATTTGTCTTACTTTTATCTCGCTTAGCATAATGTCCTCCAGACTCATCCATGTTGCTGTAAATGTTAGGATTTCATTATTTTTTTAAGGCTGACTCTTTCATTGTGTATGTATACATGCCACATTTCATTTATCCATTGGTGAACACTTAGATTGATTTGATGTCTTTGCTATTGTGAATAATACTGCAATAAAAATAGGGGTGCAGAAGTACTTTTGAAACGCTGATTTCCTTTTCTTTGGATAAATACTTAGGAGTGAGATTGCTACATCATATGTTAGTACTACTTTCCGTTTTTTGAGAAATCTCCATATTGTTTTCCATAATGGCTGTGCTAGCTTACATTCCCATCGACAGTGTTTAAGAGTTCCCTTTTCAACATACACTTACTAGCATATTTTTTTTGACTTTTTAATAATAGTCATTCTAACTGAGGTAAAATGATATCTTACTATAGTTTTGATTTGCTTTTTCATGTTAATTAGTGATATTGAGCATGTTTTCATATACCTATTGGTCATTTGTCTTCTTTTGATAAATGTCTGTTCATGTCCTTTGCCTGCTTTTTAGTGGGATTATTATTATTTTCTCCTGTTTAGTTGCTTTAATTCCATGTATTTTCTGAATATTAGCCCCTTATTAGATGAATAGTTTACAAGTATTTTTAAATATTAAATATTTTCTACCATTTAACAGGCTCTTTACTCTGTTATTTATTTTGATGTGCAGAAGCTTTTTAGTTTATGATAGTCCCATTTGCCTATTTTTACCTTGCCTGTGCTTTTGAAGTCTTAGCCATAACATCTTTGTCTAGATCCATGTCCTGAAACATTTCCCCAATATGTAGATTTCTGGAGGTAGTATGGATATTTTGACATTATTGATTCTTCTGATCTATGGACATGAGATATCTTTTTATTTTTTGTGTCTTGTTCAATTTCTTCCACCAGTGTTTTAAAGTTTTGCTTTAATTCTTTGTTTGGTTAAAATTATTCCTAGGTTTTTAATTTTTGTAGCTATTTTATATGGGATTGCTTCTTGATTTCTTTTTCAAATTGTTCAGATTGATGTATAAAAATGCTATTGATTTTTGTATATCAATTTAGTATTCTGCAACTTTCCTTTATTTACCAAATATAAGAGTGTTTTGGTGGAGTCTTAAAGTTTTTCCAAATAGAATTTCATTGCAAAGAGGGACAATTTGGCCTCCCTTTTTCCAATGTGGATGCCTTTTATTTCTTTCTTTTTCCTGGTTGCTCTGGCTGATAACCTTTAGTACTAGAATGTTGAAGAGGAGTTATAACAGTGGGCATCCTCATCTTGTTTCAGATCTTGATAGAAAGGCTTTCAGCTTTGGCCCGGTCAGTATGATGTTAGCTGTGAGTTTGTAATATATGGCCTTTAGTATATTGGGGTATGTTCTTTCTAAATCTAGTTTCTTGAGAGTTTTATCATGAAAAGATGTTGAATTTTATCAGATGCTTTTACTAAGCCTATTGAGATGATCACATTTGTTTATCTTTCATTCTTTTGATGTGATGTATCACGTTTATTGATTTGTGTATGTTGAATCATCCTTGCATCCCAAGGATAAATTCCGCTTCATTAACTTGTATTATCTTTTTGGTGTGCTGTTTGATTCATTTTGCTAGTATTTTGTTGAAGGTTTTTGTGTCTCATTCATCATGGATATTGACCTGTAGTTTTCTTTCTTTCTTGTGTTCTAATCTGGTTTTGGTATGAGGGTAATGCTGGCTCATAAAATGAAATAGGAAGAATTCCCTCCTCTTCAATTTTGTGGAATGGCTTGAGGAAAATCAGTGTTAGTTATTCTTTGTACATTTGGTAGAATTCAGCAACAAAAGATCCAATTCTGGGCTTCTCTTTGTTTGGGAGACTTTTTGTTACTGATTCAATTTATTATGCATTATTGTTCTGTTCAGATTTTCTATTTTTTCCAGACTTGATCTTGGTAGATTTTGTGATTCCAGGAATTTATTCATTTCCCCTGTTTTCCAGTTTGTAAATGTTAACTGTTAATAATGGTGTCTGATGATCTTTTGTATTTCTGTGATGTCAACTGTAATACCTCTTTTTACATTTGTAATTTTGTTTATTTGGGTATTCTCTCTTTTCTTGGTTAGTCTCTCTAGCAGGTTATTAAATTTTTTATATTTTCACAAACCAACTTGTTGCTTTGTTGATCTTTTGTATTTTTTTTAGTCTGTGTATCATTTAGTTCTGCTCTGATCTTTATTATTTCTTTCTTTCTACTAATTCTGGATTTGGTTTGCTCTTCCTTTTCTAATTCCTTGACGTGCATCATTAGATTGTTTATTTGAAATCTTTCTACTTTTTTATTGTAGGAATTTATTGCTACGAATTTCCCTCTTAGCACTGCTTTTGCTCTATTCTATAGGTTTTGGTATCTTGTGTTTTATTTTCATTTTTTCAGAAACTTGTTTGATTTCCTACTTAATTTCTTCATCGACTTGATGGTTGTCTAGGAGCTTGCTGTTTAATTTCTATGTAGTTGTACAGCTTCCAAAATTCCTCTTTTTATTGATTTTTAGTTTTATTTGATTGTGGCATAAGAGGATACTTGGTATGATATTAACTTAAAAAAAAATTTTAAGACTTGTTTTGTGGCCTGACATAGCATCAATCCTGCACAATGTCCATGTACTTGGGAAAAATGTATATTCTACAGTTGTTGAATAAAATGTTCTGTAGATTGGCCTGTTAGACCAGTATGGTCTAAAGTGCAGTTTAAATATAATGTTTCTTTATAAATTTTCTGTCTAGATGATCTTTGTAATGCTAAGAGTTGAGTGCTAAAGTCTCCAACAATTATTGCATTGGAGTACATCTCTCCCTTTTGATGTAATAATATTTGCTTTATATATCTGGATGTTTTCATATTGAATGCATATGTATTTACAATTTTTATATCCTCTTGCTGGATTTATCCCTTTAATATGATGACCTTGTCTTTTTTTTACTGTTTTTGACTTAAACATGTTTTTATCAGCTATAGAAATACATATGCTCAATTTTGGTTTTTGTTTGCACAAAATATCTTTTTCAATCCCTTTACTTTCATTCTATATGTCTTTACAAGTGAAGTGAGTTTCTTAGAGACAATAGATAGTTGGTTCATGTCGTCTTTGTTTTGGATTTTGGTTTTTGTTTTCAAATCCATTCAGCCAGTCTATGATTCTCCTGCCTCAGCCTCCCGAGCAGCTGAAACTACAGGCATGGGCCACCAAGACCAGCTAATTTTTATATTTTTAGCAGAGACGGGGTTTCACCATGTTGACCAGACTAGTCTTGAACTCTTGACCTCATGATCTGCCCACCTTGGCCTCCCAAAGTGCTGAGATTACAGGCATGAGCCACCGTGCTATATCTTTTAAGAGCAAAATTTAATCCATTTATCTTCAAGGTTATTATTTATGTGTAAGGACGTATTTCTGTCCCTTTGTAAATTGTTTTTTGGACTTTTTTATATACTTTTTTCCCTTTCTTATTGTTTATCATTATGGTTTGGTGTTTTTCTGTAGTTGTACCATTTTAGTAGTTTCAACATTTGTATGTTTACTAGTAAGTTTTATACTTTCTGTGTTTTTATGATAATAGATAGCATCTTTGCAATTTCAGATATACAACTCCTTTAAATAAGTCATGAAAACACAAGAAAATAACAAATTTCCTTAGTTTTTGCTTGTATGGGAAAAACTTTATTTTTTATAGCTGAAGGCTCAATTTTGCCAGATATATTGTTCATTTTTTTTTGTTTTCTCCCCCTAGATCTCCGAATATATCATCTCATTTTCTCCTGATCTGTAATTTTTCTGCTGAAAAATCTGCCATTAGTTTAATAAGATTTTCTTTATATTGTACTTACCATCATTCCCATTTAAAAAAATCATTTCTTTGTATTTGACTTTCAACAATTTGACTATAACTTGCCTTTAACAGGACCTTTTTGGGTTGGATCTATTTGGGGTTCTTCAGGTTTTCTGCATCTGGATGTTCATATCTCTTCTAAGACTTGTAAGTTTCCAGGCATCATTTTACTAAATAGATTATCTATGGTGTTGGGCTTCTGTTCAACTTTTTGAATACCCAGAATTTGAAAGTTTGCTTACTTTATGGAGTCCCATATGTTACACAGGATTTGTACAATCTTTTTTTATTCTTTATTCTATTTTGTCTGACCAAGTTATTTTAAAAATTCTTTAGTCAAGTTATAAAATTATTTCTGGTGCATAATATAATCTGTTATTGAAGATCTCACATTCTGTATTTCATTCATTGAATTTTTAGATCCATAATTTTTGTTTCTTTTTTATGATACTTATCACATTGGTAAATTTCTCATTTATGTTCTGAATTGTTTTTCTGAGTTTTTAGTATTATTTATCTGTGTTCTCTTGTATCTCACTGAGCTTCTTTAATATTATTACTCTGAACTCTTCATCATTTCATTAATTTCTTTCTTATTGTCATATCTGGCTGGACAATTATTGTGTTTCTTTAGATGTGGCATATTTCCTTGACATTTAATGTTTCTTTTGTCCTTTCATTGACATCTTTGGATATGGCATAAGTCACTTCTTTATATTTTTGGATTGGCTTTTGTAGGGGAAGGTTCTGAGGATCTATCTGTAGTGTTGGTTTCATAGGGCACTTTAGCCTTGATTCTGGTAGTCTCTGTGTGATTTATTTGTCTGTAAACAGCCTCAGTGGTGTCTATGATCTCCTCTGTCACTTAGGCTGTAGTTGTTAGTGGAGGCTGTGTTAGGTAAGGCTTCGTAGGGGATGGGAACTGCAGGTAGGTTGGTCCTCAGACCTCAGTAGTGCAGTGGTGGGCTAAGCATGCCTGTCCTTGGGCCCCAGGCAGCATGCATGGGCACCAGTGTAATTAGGTCTAAGCACACTAATTGTTGGGCCTCCAGGTGGCTTTCTTGGGTTCTGGCAGGGGCGGTATTGGGCCATGTAGTTCATTAAGTTCCTGAGTAGCATGCATGGCATGAGCAATGGCCATAGCTGTGACCGGACAACTCCATGGGTTCATGGATGAAACATGCTTCTGTTAATGGTGGCTGTGACGAGCTGAGTAGGCCTGCCCTTAAGCCCCTGAAATACTTGCACTGATATCAGTAGTGGTGGTGGAGCAAGATGATCCCCAGATCCCTAGGCAATGTACCAAGGTGTTGGGAATGTTGCCAGACAAGACAGGCCTGTCATTAGACCCCCTCGATTGTGCACACAGGTACAGGCTGTGGTTGGCAGGCAAGGGTGATCCCTAGGCTTCCCTGGTAAAGTGCTACGTGGTGACAGCAACAGCAGCAGTGAGAAGGGAGAATCCATCCCCAAAAACTGTGGGCCTGTTGCTGGAAACTAGGGTTATTTTCAGTGGCAGTAGCCCCAGTCAGTTGGCTCTCAGGCTCTTGGAAGTATGTGGTTTAGTGTCCTCAGCTGGCAGAAGCAGCAGCAGTGGGGAGAGCCAGTCTTCAGAGCACATGTAATTTGAATATTGCTGAGAGGCAAAGTTGCTATCAGTGGCAGCATCCCCAGGCAAGCATGGTTCAGATTCTGGGGAGCACTTGCTTTGGCTCCCTTTGTCGCAGGGGCACTTTGCTTTGCCTGCTGCACCGCCCATACCCTAGGGGGCAAGATGCTATGTATTCTATAGTGCTGAAGACCCTGCCGTTCTGCTGAGTCTAATCACTCTCATGCCACTGCAGTCCTGTAGGGGATGTAGGGAGATGTCAGTGTAGTTATAGGGATGTAGGGATGCAGGAGCTGCTGGGTCCCAGGGACAGATGCAGTCTGGTTTGGGCCACATTCTCAAAATGACACTGTGCTACAACTGCTTAGGACTCAGGGTGTGTACGGGACCCAGCATAAGCTACCTATCTGGAGCAATGTCATCACACAATATCCAGGCAGCACTCTGTGGTAGCCTTATGGTCTGTAGGGCCCAAGGAACTCTCCTGTGACTAGGGTTGTATTAGTCCATGATGGGAATGTGGACTGCTGGGGCATTTTCCATTTTCCCACACTGGGGTGACTCTCCAAACTCCCAGATGATCCTGGCCAAGCTGGCTGCCTTGCTTCCACGTTTTTTCTTAACTTGGGTGTTTCCTGACACTTCTCTGTTGAATTCCAGTGTTCTGTGTTAGATGCTGTATTCAAAGTAGGATTATGTACTTGCTATTTTAGCTTTTCTTTGTGGAGGAGGCAATTGCTGAATGCCTCTAGTCAGCCATCTTGGAGCCCCTGTTCCAATTTTTCTCTTTTTAATATGTTTTGACAGTCTTTCCATTAATTGTATTTTGTTTTTATCCCATTATCGATTCTCCACAATTGATTTAAACATGCAAAGTCCAAGCCTAAGAAATGTGTAATCTAAGGCCTTCAATGTGGAAACACAAATTAAATTTATCTTCTAGTTGGTCTCATAGTGGTTCTCCCATTTTCAAAGAGGAGTTACTCTAAGACTTACCTAAATAAATTCATTAATTCTATTTTCCTTCAAAGGAAAATACTGACAGTATTGCTGAGATTAGTGAAAAATTTTCCAGAAAAAGAATTTTGAGACCTGAGGACAATTAGTAAGAAGTACTGAAATGAAATACTATCTATTCATCTAAAATAATCCAGCTAAATATAAAATCCGGTGCTGTGCATTGGTCAATCGCTATACACATCTTGGGTTAGCCAAGAGAACAGGGCAGTTGAAAGTAGAGAGTGGTGGCCTGGGTCCCTTTACATGATCTTACCCCTCCCACCCTTTGATCTGATCTTGTTTGGTCACTACTAAGTTATGCCACTTAAATATCATGATTTAAGTGTGAGAGAAATAAAAGAATTGTCCTATAGAAAAAGGATGGGATATCTAAACTCAGAGAGTATCAGGAAGTCAATGATGCCTACAAGAACACCATTCATGTATTCTTCCTTACATCGTTTATTTTTGTCTCTGTCAGTTCTCTCTGAATCTGTTTACTTTCTATTCAGTAAAAGAAAAAGGAAGTATATCATAGTAGTTGAGTATAAAGCTGGAGTCATATTATCTTGGTTCCTAACGCCATACAATAAAAGTTGAGTTGATTTCAGGATTCTGCAAGGTAGGCAAAAAGCAAGAAGTGTGCTTTTAATTTTTGGAGAAGTTTTCCATGTTTCCTGAGTGATTGAGCATTTTGATATGAGAACAGCATTTCTGGGAGAAAAACGAGTACTGTTTTTGACACATTACTGCAAGATGATAGTCAAACACCTATATAACTAGATCCTTTCACCAAGAGCTCCTTTCTTTAAAGATGTGCAACTGGACTGAAATATGATAAGGAGATATGTTTCTATCTTCTCTTTTTTGAAAAAAAAATAAATGAATGATTATCTGAATAAATGTAGCTGTTCCATCCATTTAAAATCACTTCTATCCATATTTCCTAACCCTCTACTGAGTCTCACCACACAAATTTCAGGGTTTTAATTATTAGATTTCTGTTCCTTATCCCTAGCAGAGAATAGGACCCTGAAGAAATAGCTCACTAGACCAATTGTTTTGATGCTTCAAGGGAAAGAGAGATAATAAGGAAGGGAGAAAGGAATAAACTAGTTAGAGCGAGAAAAGAAAAACTCTGAGAGGCCAAAATGCAGTTGATGAAGAAAAGACAGGGAATGAAAACAGTCTTGGTGCACGTCTTATTTATGCCTTGAACTGACCTTGAGAATAGACATTCCTAATATTAAATTCAATAAGATGTATGTTATTAGAAGAAAGTCTTTGTTCACCGAGAAGAATAGCACTATGTAGTGATACAAGACAGAGCGGATTCATGCAAAGCTAAATTATCAAAGAACTCTACACCTGAAAACCTAAACCTAAAATACCAGTGTCTTGTAAGCCAAAAAAGGTCCTTTCATTGCTCTTTTCCCATGGTGCTTTTCAAAATCATTATTAGCAAGTCTTCCTGTAAAAATGAAGCAGCATGTCTAACACAGTGAAAACCTGGTCTCATAGATGGTTATCATCACACGTTTTCTCTGAATCTGCTGAAAAGGTTGCTTTGTAATAATAAAAAAAAAATCAACATTAATCATTACAATATTTGAGTTGCTCTTAGCAAATTTACTTTATACATCAGGCAGGACGAGATGTTATGTACATGGTTATGTTCAAGAAAGGCATTGCATTTCATTATTTCAATGCATCTCTAGAGAAAGTTAAATTTAAATAAAGCTGTCTACGCTCCTGAAAGGCAGTGCATTAATTTTCAAGGTCTTAAACAATGAACAAAAGTTGTTTCTAAGGAGAGCAGCTAAGGCTCTCATAGCTTAAATGACAGACAGTGTTATATCTAAAGAGCAGCTGAAGTATCCTTCCCCTCAAAATAGTATGTTTCCCTGTTTAAAAACCCTGGACTGATGAAAGGGAAATTACATCTAGCTTTAAATGCATACCTTGTTAGGAGACCACTATCTTAAACACATGTGGAACCTAAAAGTAATGACAATACACTGTGCCAAACCAGAATTATTCTCTTCCTAAGGTTCTTAATTAAATGTATTGCCTGGCAAGCTTCCTACTGAATGCCACACAAAATACACATTTTACAAATGAGTCTATATCATGCCAAACTTCCAGAGGATGCTACAATTACTGAAACTATGATAAATTTTAAAAATGAGCAGCCTGAAATGTGCTATGTAATGAAGGCTTTTTAAATTGGGAAATACATTCAAAAGTTGTTTGCTGCCTTTACTTTCATAATGGGTTCACGGATCTCCTGTCAGCAAACAGCATCTTAAATTATTGCGTTGGATCCTACAGAGAAAGACCTAGAGGATGAAGGCTTAGAGATCGGAAATATTTTAAAGAAATCAGAGGCCAGAAGTCTTTAATAAACAGTGGTTACAATAATGATCCACAAAAGAGCAGATCAAGCTCTAAAGCAGAGGGCCGGATGCAGGCAATTATGTGAGGTAGCGCATATGTTAATTAGCCAGTCCATTTTT